CAGTCATGTTCAAATGGTGTAGAAAAATAAAAGTACACAAAAATAGAGTTGTTTTTTTTTTTTGACAGCAACAAACTGCAAGTCTGACATAGCTTTTCACAGAAACACAACATTAGATCCAACCACCGGCAAAGAAAATAAGCTGCTGTCGATTCTGGAGCAGAAGAACGGTCAGTAAATGGTACATTTCCCTCCACGCCAGTGTTCTGACAAACTAAAATACTCCTTGCGGAGGTGCAGCACATACTGTAACTGACATATCAGAACGAGTGTTATTCTTACAAACATCAATGAAGCTCATCATGTTACATTACTAACATTATTCACTTGAATATTCGAAGCTGTATCAGTTATTACAATTATCATTATTATTATTATTATTATTATTATTATTATTATTATTGTTCAGCAACTACTTCAAGAATACTGAACATTCAGCAGTGCATCTTGTGACAAAATTGTACACATTAACTCCATATAACTGGTTAATTAGCTTAATGTACAATTATTTTTTAAACAGTTTTCACATTTCACACTTGTCCTGGGAACCTATTTATACATAGCTTAAAACGTTAAACCATTTAAATGATGCTGCAGCCTAAAGAATTATGACAATCTACATTTTTATTATTATGTCACTCATTTTCAGCAAAACAAAGCACCTCATATCTTTTCCATAGTAGTAATCTACCTCCTGGTGAACACCACCTCAGTATGTCAGAACACTGTCAAAGTTAACAATATATTATTAGTCAATTATTTTGCATGAAGATACTTGCAAAATGCAGATACACACATCAATAACTAAGAATTTTACTGTTTTAAAACAAGTTCTTACTATAATCTATATACGGAACGCAGTGAGTTAAAGACAGATCGTAGACTAATTTTGCATAACCATGACTAAATCAGACACAGACAAATATTGTAAACATTTACTTATTAAGCAGACCTTCTTACACTGTGTGTTGGTATGAGAATGTAATGTTAGGAGTCAAAATCAAGCACTATTATTGCTGTAGCTCTGTATGTGTGTATATCAGATGGGAGCTCGAGCTAGTGATTCAGATTCAAGTCACGAGTCGCATGATGACTGACTCATAACTCGACTCAAACTACTCTCAAACTCTATATTGAGGATTCACGAAATTCTGTCTCATTAAAAAACATGAGTAAAACCTGGTAAGATGGTAAATAAAACCTTACGTTTGGAATCGGATTGCAGTCAGAAGTGCAATTCTATAACTGCAATGCTCTCACAGCTCACAGTCGGGTCAATTTCGGTATGGCTTCTGTCACAAATGGGGCCTGGAAATTTGATGCAAGTGCAAAACAAGGCTTTAATTCAGGAAAGGCTGGTGGTGGTTCCATACTGGTGTGGGGTGTGTTCTCATGGCATGGGTTGGGTCCACCTAAACACGTCGTTGACCAGTGACCACTACGTTTCACTGCTTGGTGACCATTTGCAGCCCTTCAAGGACTTCATGTACCCCCAGAATGATGGGATATTCCAGAACTATAATGCACTGAGTTGTCCAGAATTGGTTCGAGGAGCATTCTGGAAAGTTCTGACGAATGGTGTCGTCTGCACGTTCGCCCGACATGCACCCAATTAAGCTTTTATGGGATGTGGTGCAGAGATCCATTCACACCCAAGATCCTGCACCTACAAATACCACAGAGTTGTGGGTGGCTAACCAGATGACCTCACACAACATTCCTCCAGATGTCTTCTGTCCACTTGTGGAATCAATGCCATGTCGAGATGCTGCATCTTCGCTGGGCTAAAGGGGGTCCTACACAATACTAGTTCCTGTCCAATAACATCTGGCATGTCAGTGTATACCATTATTGATATTGCAGTGGTGTTCATGCCTGAATGTGGAATCAATCTCCAGGCTCTAGTGTGTGTGCTCATCACTAATGTCAGTATATGTCAGTCACTGCGTGATCAAACACTAATGTGGTGCTAAGTTAACATCTGAAATTTAATACCGGACCGATAACAATTACTACTATAACCACTGTACTATTACTTTCACGGTATTTCACAGTGTATAATATTACATATGGAGTTCATCACTACTTGCGCATCCATATAATTTACATAATACGAAGAATTTTGACTGTTTTGACATCTTGAAACCTACAGTGTCAAAAGCCCAAATAGGGGCTGCAGCGTGACAACACTTCTTATGTAGGCACACACAGTCTTACCGGTTCTGACCGGTTCTACATCATAAAATCTGCACTGTCAGAAGTGCTTACAGAGCCAGCACTAATCAATAGGGTGAAATGCACCTCTGTCATCTATCTAGACACTTTAGTAAAGCTTTTATTGGTATGTGCCCTGCACCTCTCTGATCTTTCAGCAATTTTCTAACAGAAAGCACTATTGCACTCTTTGTTCATATCCGTCCTGTGTTCCTGAGTCATTTATTGCTTGTGTGAGCCCACCGCTATCAGATGTAGTTTAGGACTCACTCCAGTGTGGATTAGAATAAGCTGTGAAGAGCCTTGAAATTGAACAGAGCTCCTGCGCTCAAATTTGAGAGGTAAATATTAAATGGATAGATTAGTTTTATCCACACTCTAATGATTGCTCAGGAATTTTGAGTGTTGCTGAGAGACAGGCAGAAGGAAAATGAGTGGTGATTAGCCAGTAATTGGCAGAAAATATGATACATATTATCATGCAATAGTTGGTAAAACTTCACTAGAACCGTGCTACATAACACTGATATAAACATGTCATAAACATGTAAAGGCAGATTTCATTTGATGTCATGAGTGTCATGTTTCCATTACCGATAATTGTCATATGTCAATGTTTGGTGTCATGATGGCTAAGTACAGTACACTTCTGTATGTGACATAAGCTGTCATGACATCAAACATTGTGATATCTGTCATGACAATTACCAGTAATGGTAACATGACACTGTTATATTGCTGGACAAAATCTGTCATGACAACTCACAATGGCATATGACATCTGCCATTACATGTTTACAGCAGGGTTCATAAGCAATAGACGTACAACAACTGATACTTTTTATTTGTTAAACAGTGTCTCGATTTGACGACTTAATAGCTTGCAAACCTTCAGGATGATGTCTAGACATATAAGTCCTCAGGTTCGCTTGGTTGATGGTATGGTTGCCTCATATTCCTCATTAAAAAAAAATAAAATAACAGTTGCTACTTCACAGCATTTTAGGAGTATGTTTGCCATATGCTTACTTGTCATTATTACTGTTCTCTCAGATATGAATGCAGCAGCATGTGTTAAAGCAGATGGAGAATTATTTTTAAAGCTCTGACTACATCGAGTTTATCCACAATGAACTGTCTTATTTGACACAGCCCTAACACAGCTCTAACACTAGCCCCAATTCCAAAATAAAATGAAAATTGCTAATAAAAACAGAATGCAGTGATTAGTAACTTCTGGATTACATTGAAAACCATACAAAAACACAATACATCATGTTTTACCTTATTAACTTTTTTTTTTAAATATACGCTTGTTACAAATATGATGCCTGCAACACATTCCAAAAAAGTTGCGACAGGAGGATGTTTACCATTATGTTACATCACCTTTCCTTTTAACAACACTTAATATCCATTTGGGGACAAAAGACATCAAATGTTTCAGTTTTGAACACAGAATTTTTTGCCTTCTGTTAAACAAGTCTTCAGCTTGGCAACAGTAAAGGACCTTCATTGTCGTATTTTGCGCTTCATAATGCGCCACGTTTTCAATAAGAGACAGATCTGGACTGCAGGCAGGCCATTCTAGCACCCACACATTTTAATTACGTAGCCATGCTGTTGTGTGCAGAATTTAGCTTGGCACTGTCAGGTTGAAATAAGCATGGAAGCTTCATCCATTGTTTGTACACTTATAGAATCATGGTAGCATACAGAAAGCTCTGGTTCTGTGTGCTGAAATTGATAAAAAAAAAAGATTTTACTGTTGCCAACGGCACAGTGTACATGACATAACTCATTTGGTGTTGTATGTATCCATGTAAGTAATGTATCTCCAAGCCCATATGGTGATATCCATCACAGAAGCATGCAGTGCTGTCGGCATACAGATGCAGTTTTCAGCCCTTTATTCACAGAATTGAATCTGGATTCCCTGAATGTTTTAATGATATTATGCACCGTAGAGGGTGAAATAGCTAAGATCTTTGCAATTGCTCATTAATGATTGTTGTTATTAAACTGCTGGATTATTTGCTGATGCATTTTTAGTCTTTTATATCCAAGCATGATTGTATCACCTCTTTTGGATGTTTTCTGAACATTTTACAATGTTTCTAATTTTTGGGAATGTGTTACAGTCCTCAGTTTCACAATGAGTGTATATTTACAAAAAAACTTGCTAAGGTAAAACATTACATATCTCGTCTTTGTGCTGTCTTTTTTAAATAAAGGTCAAATTGGATTTACAAATCACTGCTGTCTGTTTTTATTTCCATTTGACATACTGTCCCAACTTTTTGGAATTAATGTTTTAAGTATAGTATTATATTACAGTAGGGGTGGACATTGTGGCAAAATATTATATCTCAATACTTCAACACATTTTTACAAAACATGATATGCATCATGATATTTCATTTGTTGGAGATTTAGTAAGATAGAATCTGTCAACATATAAAAAATACTATAATATTAATGACAGTAACAAAAAGTCTAATCACATTTACTTTTATTTAATGGTTTACAAACCGCACTTCACTCCAACTAAACAGGCATAATTATGCTCACTTTGTAACGAAACGTAGTTAGTTAGTTCTCTTTAAATACTGACGATGTTGACAACATGCTCAGAAAAACATATTGTGGCATAATTTAACACAATATCTCCACCCCTATTATATAGTAACATATTCAACAATTACATTTTTCTCATATTTAGCAAAACGTCATCAGCATTTCAAAACAAGTTGCAAATTGCATGCATGAATTAAACTGCCACTTACCTCGGGCATCAAAGAACTCCTCATCTGAGCTGTCCATTGATTCCTGTGCAATGTTCTGGAGCCTCCAGTGTGATGCACTAAACTTTCGTGAGGGCACTAGAAAACAAAAGAGGGTAATGAACTGCCTAAATGTAAAGCATTTCCCAAATACATATATCTATACCAAGTCTTACCTTTTTAATCTTCAGCAAAAAAAAAATGTTTGTGATTGGCTGACAAAGCCACACTCAAGTTTTTTTAAGTAAAGTCACTGCCTAATTTACACTGTCTGCTAAGTCCAAAACCCCTTACCCTATCATCAATGCATAGTCCTTGTCATCAATGCAGTCAAGTCAATTACACTGTTCACAATTGTTTTATTTACAATTGTATCTAGAACTGTTGTATCTAGAATTATGACCAGGCTTATTCCTAAAAGAATGCTGTCGTACTCCCATTTTTTGTATTAAACTATCCCTCAAATGCCTGCATTTCTCAAGACATGGGCAACAAACTACTGATAGGACCCTGATCTACAACAATGCTGAAACGTTTCAGGGCTGATGCCATTCTTGCTGTTTGTTATTGTGTCTTGTCTCCTGACATTAGAGCACAGTAAACACAGACGAAACCAGCTGAACCCTAAAGAATGACGGCACTGTCCCGGAGCTTCTCTTCTTGTGGAGAAATACAGTTGCGCAAACATCTCCCTAAGGGAGTGCCACTTTGAAGCTGAGCGTGGCTAATTAAAACGGAAAAGCGCCCACGCTGCTGGAGAAGCAAATTGAGAGCCAGCATTGGATTTAGCCAAGCTCTGATAAGCCTGCAAAAGACCCCTGCATTCACGCTGCATTGTTCTGTGCCTCTTTGTAGATACGGCACATTTTCTCCCTTTACATCTTAACTGAAAGCAACGACAATCTGGTTCTCCCCGCCAGACGGCAGACACATTAGCTTCAGAGATGAGAGGGGGGATCTACATGCATGTTCTGAGCCTCGTGCACTCTTCAACAAAGCCCTCAGGCTGGCAAATCCCAACAGAGACGTAAGCCATACTTTTTGATTAATGTTCTGGATTAATGAAGATAAATATGGCATTTGCACAAGACGTGTTTAGTACAGTAATATAACCTGTAGCCTTTCTTAAATAATGGAGACTACTGTGCTTCTAAACTGTAGCAGGGTTACAGAGTTAATGTGATTCATGTTTGGGGCTCAGGTGGCCACTGCCTGGTGCTGGGCAGCATGACCTCAAACATCTATTAAATCCCTGAGAAATACCACTAGCAGTTGTGCTTGAGTATTTCTTTTCATAAGCTCTATGGGGGGAACTTAAACTCATTATAAATTTCACCAGTTCACCCTTATTAGTACTTCAATCTATGACCCTGTGTTGGCTGATGAAATTCTCCAATCGCTCTCCTAAAAAAGAAGCTGGAGCAAAATTAATAGTATTCTACCGGAGTGAATAATATTCCAGTAAAAGCAGTAAGGAATAACTCGTGTACCATGAAGCCTTACAAATTAGCTCCATATCATTACACAAACTCAGAGGACCTTAAGTAAAATCAATCAGCTACACAAGAGTATTACAAAGCATCTTATTTCAGCAGGCCTAGCAATAGAACCACCTTTTCATTTCATGACTTCATTGCCTCTCTCCAACACTCATCTCTATCCCTGTCTATCACCAGGTCTGATTCTGCCAGGTTTTTTGATGAAAGCGATGAGTTTTTAATGGCTCGCTGACGATGGGTCGTTAACATGGCCGCTCCATAATCCCCACGGGCACTTCTTTTTTCCCCTTCACATCTGATGAAGGGTCATTTTCGGCCCTCTAACCTCAATCAATACTCCTCCAGCTCTACTTCATTAGAGAGCCAACCCGCTGGTTCTCAAATCTGGGTGAATGAAAGGGTTATGACAATCCACCTCTCCAAGTGATTACTCACTTGTTGTCTAGTCTAAATGACAAAAATGTTGGTACTTCCACAAAGAAATGGATAGCAATTGCGATGTGATTAGACAAAAGAAGCTGGGCAATTGATGTATTACCATGTAGACGCCTTCACTGAATTGGGTTATTGTGTAAGGATAATACAGCCAGAGAACCATACAATGATTATTTCTATGATTAGTCCAACTACTGACTTTTGTTAATTAACTGAGTAATCTAATGATTAAGTTACTGTTTCAGCAAGAAATACATTTACATAACGGCACAAGAAACTTGAAAAATACATCATCCAAAATATTAAATTGCTTTCCTTTACATTACTGTTTCGCTTATTTCTCAGTTGATACTGTTCCTGAATCAAAAGTATGATTGAATACAAGTTCAAAATGAGTTATTCATTATAACTCTTCACATAGTTAATAAATTAATAATAACTTTACATTTCTTTCTTCTTTTTTTAATTTAATGGTTATTTTTATTCTTCAACTTTTCATCTTTCCTATTCCCTATATTAGCACACATTTAATCATTTCTCATTTTTGTTACTGCTTATATGATTCTGTGTGGTGCATGTCTGCCAAGGCAAAATCTTATATGGCACAAAACATATTTCTGACTTTTAACTGACTTGGGCTACATCCACAACCACATGATACAATACTAAATAGCATGTCAAAAATAGTACACCAGCAACAGAAGGCCATTAGTGTAGTATGTGTAGTACAGTAGTATATGTAGTACAATAGTATGTGGTTTTGGATGCAGCTTTGGACTTTAGACTAAAATCTTTTTCTTTTCAGTCATTTATACTTTAATTATGTTTGTTTTATTAAAATAAATATATTTTATTAAAATAAACATTTTTCAAGTTTCTTGTGTTATGTAAATTTAATTTCTTGCTGAAACAGTAACTTAATCGTTAGATTACTCAGTTCATTAACATTTTTGCAAAGATCAAAGTAAATTAAGTAACTTTTTTGTGATTTAATTAAACCTTTTTAAATGTATGTGTGCTGTGTTTGCAAAAATGTGTGTTATGGTACTGACAGTTTTCAGGTTACACACTGATTTTTAGACTGGTGGATCTAAGTTTTCACCATGTGGCCAAGATAGACGCAGTCTCACTTCCTGCTCTAAAATGCAGGGATGTGGCTAAAAAAGGCTCCTCTTATGGACTAAAACCCCTTGTGTTGCGGTAGTGACATGAAAATGTGTGACAGCATTTTTTGAATAAAGATGAGTCCAATTTAAAAATTAAACTTACGATAAATCATTTTTACAAGTTGAAATTTAGGGGTTTGGGTTTGGGACAATCACCTGCCTAAAGAAAGTACCCAATAAATTATGATTCTGTATTTATCTGGCTTGTTCCTATCTCAATGAATGCATTGGGTACAAATAGTCATAATACTAATTTCTAATGTCTAAACTGTTTTCTTTTCTTTTGCTATGGAACTGCGGTTTGAACTAGTTTCTTACTGGCTAAAGTTATTTTATCATGACCGGCACATTTGTGATTTTATAACTGTATATTTTTACCGACTGTAAGTGTTAAAGCACCAAAGAAAAAGCATATTTAACCAGATTTAACAGGTCAGTGTTATTCTTATCATTTCTTTACTGAACTGCTAAAAAATTCAAAGTTCTCTTTTTAGCACAAACTATTACTTCTTATGATGCAAAGAAACAACAGAAGCCATATTGCCCCTCATGTATGAACTCTACTGTAATCTGTCACTTTAACATTACCAGGCACTTTTTTAAGCAAACAACGCAACAACAGGAAAAAATCCACAGTGACATTTTTTTATAATCGTTGTAATTGACTTTGCTGAATAATTATTGCAGCCCTAATTAAAGGACGACATTATGTCTGGCAATAAATACCTTAGCCCCCTTTGGTGGTAACACAGCTCAATTTTACTTGTGCTGGTATGAGGCAATATTGAGGAAAAAAATCATCTCATTTTACAGTACCACCTCCCTTTTTCCCTTCCCTCCTTATTAGAAAAGGTATTACATTACCCAATCCACATCCACAAGCCGTGGTAAATGCACTTTACCTCCCCTATGAGCTTATAATGAAGCTATTCATCTTCAGGCTCAACTCAGAAAAATGCCCGGGAATAGATGCAACTATAAACAGAGCCGGGATTTTAATAAGTCTGGGGATTTCAGTGCCAGTGGCTGCAGTTACATTGGCATACAACATGCATAAGAGTACAACAGAGGCCAGCCAGCAAAAGCAGGCTAGGCACCGAAGTTTGTCAGAAATTTATGTGAGAGGAGGGATGCCAGGCCTTAGAGTAGAGATCAACAGGGCAAACCAATAGAGCATTTAGTGCAGATGGCTGCCCTAAACCCATCATCAAAGCTGTGTTACAATATATTAAACCTATATTACCTTCAGTTTTACAGACAGGCAAAATAAAACAGCGCTGGTAATATAGTCAGTGACTGTGGCCGCATGTCAGGGCACTGAAAGGGCAGAACAGTGATAATGAATGTGAATTTAATGGCTTGTAGCATCACCCTGTCAGTCTAAAAATGAGCAGAGATTAGAAATAAGGGACGTACAGTATGGACAAAATACCAGTTTTGCAACTATACTGCCATTTATTATGATTAATAAATATTGCCATGCAATATATTACAAATGCACTGATGAATCAATGGTTTGACACAGTTAAAGATTTGCCTGCAATATTTTGATCCCAGTAATTTGCTTTAGTTGCATTTCGGAAAATTCTAGACCATCAGCACAGATGGGCAACATGATATACTATCATTATTGTGATAAATTACATCACAACATGCTTTTTGAGTGTATCTTGGGTATCATCAGTACTTCTAGAATAAAAAACTCAATGTATCATAAAAAGAGCACTTAAAGGGCCTGTAAAGCAGTGTAACTGCAGAAATAATTGCAAAGAGAGCTTTGTAATCAAACGTGTAGTTGGATTTAGCGCACTGTTGTCATAGTTTTGATATTATTTTTTTAAATGTGACACTACTTTGGCTATTCCAACTTATCATGGGTAAGAATAAATTAAATATCACTACATGGTGTATCGTGAAAACTTCTTGAAGTATTGTGATGTTACATTTTTACCATCGACAACCTCTGCAGCCAATTATACCGTTAGCTTGTTTTATTCAT